GAGTCTATGGAGGGATCAGGGGGAGGGGGGGAGCAAATGAGGACAGTGTAAGATCAAGTTGATTACATCCAAACTATGCCGCAGACCTAATTGCCGAGCGTGACAGTGTGCGGAGCTTGTCATCTCCAATCATTAGGCCTGTCAGAGATCCATCAGATGCTCGGCTAATTAGGAAAACGCTAATGAAGCTGGCAAAACAACTCCTCTTTTTTAGACAGCTGAGTGCGCTCCATCGCCGGGCGGAAGAGCGTGCGTGTTTGTAGGAAAAAAGCAGAGTGTGTGTGGGATCGTTGGAAAAGATGGAGATACCGTCGAAAAAAAAACGAAAGGCTATCTCTGTGTTCCTGTGCAGGAGAGCAGACTTAAAGAGGGTACACACATGTTCTGTTTTCTGTAATGAAAAACACATGACGGGTTCTAAATCAGCAGGTCCAAACGAACCTTTCCATAAACACTCTGACCTTTCACCAGATTTACGGGTTTATGTCATTTGTACAAATCTGATGGTTGAATGAATCACTGAAGCTCCGTATGAGCAACCTGCTGCCTGTAACCACATTGGGTGGGGGGGGGGGGGGGGCTCATTTTCTGGATGCAGACTATGAAGTGAATCATGGAGATAAAAGAGAGGGAAAGGAGTAAGGAAAGTAAGCTCTGGAAATAAAAAAAAAACAAGGCTGGGCTGAGCGTTCTCTGCATCCCCCCCAAAGTTCCTAATCAAGGCCTATCATTTGCCATCCTCCCATAACTCCCGCCATCACTACGGCACAATCAATTTGTCATCACTCTTTGTGTGTGCCATGCAGTTCCTCTCAGCCTTATACGTTGCAGCTGTGAACAAGGGAGGGAAGAAGGGAAGGAGGGTTAAAAAAAAAAAAAGAAAAATCCAAAGCTGCCAATAGCCTAAAATGAAACTCCTCCTTTCGCCCTGCCTCGTGTTTGTTCTCGTTCTCTCATCAGAGGAAAATAAATGCCTCATTTTCTCTCCGGCGCACTCGCTCGCTCATTCCAGCTGAATAAAAGGGCTTTCAGTCAACCCGTCCATCCATCCATCCATCCATCCATCTATCCGTCCGTCCACCCATTCTGTTGCCCCCCCTCCCCCTCCTCCCCTTGTGTCCATTAGGGCTAAAACATTTTGATCAAGTAAAGCCCTGGGCTGAGAATACATAAGACTCTCTCTCTCTCTCTCTCTCTCTCTCTGTGTGCCAGCCTCTGATTGACCATTAGGGCCATTGATGAATGTGGCTGTCAGAGGGCAGACAATTAAATCAAATATGAAACAAAGTCTCTCTGACGGCTCCTTCTGATGGAGCAAACCAGTCTTCCGCCTCACGATTAGGCTAATAGTTACATTTTTCAAACCACTCCATGTGAGTGTGTGTGTGCAAGAAAAAAAAAAACTATTGCACATATGTACTATGAAGTCATTGCAGCATGTGCATGCACCACTGCTCATATGTAATTATGTGTGTTAGAAAGTGTGTGTGTGTGTGTGTGTGTGTACTGGTAGGCCACTTTTTACCTCCTTTGGAGTTACAGAAAGTTGCAAACGAGGTTGCACTGATTCAAAAACGGCTTACATTAAATTCTAAAGGTCATGCATAATAAAGATAATTAAAATTCACAGCAATAAATATGTATACAGTTAAAGGTTTCAAAGCCATATTTACTGCGGGACAAAAGCTACATAATGGATTTAACTTGTCTAGGAAATGTGTAAATGAACACAAATTATTCATCTCCCGTGATCTGATGAGAAGATCTAAATAAAGGGTTTTAACTCTGTCACATCTGAGGTGAGCTGGGAAGAAGAAGGAAGTCTAACGCCACAGACGAGATGCAAAGCTGCAATTAAATGATGGTGCTAATGTCTTGTAGTTTGTGAAGGCCAGACGTGACTTCAGCAGGCCTCTTCTCTGCTACAAGAGTGAGCGAGAGACAGGAGGAGGGGAGAAAGGAGGAGGAGGAGGGGAGGAGTGGGGGGGGGGGTGATTTATTGACACTTATCGGGAATGAACAGATCAAAGGCTCGGCCAGATGACAGGTGATCAATCAGGCATCAAATCAAAGATGGCAATTGTCCATTAAAGCTCTCTTCCAGTATACACTCCCTTCCCCGGGCTGTGGAATAATCTTTAGACTAGAGGAGAAAAGTCTTTCCCAGAAACATGAAGAAGAAGAAGAAGAAGAAGAAGAAGAAGAAGAAAGGGAGGAAGAAAACAGATGGACGACCTCGTGCAAAACAAAGAGGGTTGAAGTGCAGTTTGAAAGTCTGAAAGGAGCAGACAATCAGGACTAATAACAGATAACAGATCATTAGAAAAGCTTTTTGTGAAAGAGTAAAAAGTAACAAAATCTTTAAAAACTAATTCACGGATAGAACAGGGATGAAATGAGCTCCCGAAAAACACTATAATATGAATAAGAACTATTTACAACTTCCTGTTGAGGATAATTCAGCAACACGATTGTGTACGTGTGTATGGCAGGCGATCAAACACAACCTATTAGTAAAACAGAATAATGCTTTAAATAAATTAAAAGAGGAAAAATACAAACATACTGACTACTTTAGACAAATGTGGCTAAAAAGCCTGAACTTCTCGTGCAGCATCGGGCTGTTCTGGAGATAATCTGACGTCCCAAACAGAAATCAACAAAGCATCAAAGGGCCTCTGTGACAGTCAACTGACCCCAGGGCTCCCAAAAAACCTCCACAGTATAGATCCTTAATTCCACAATCAATATCTACCAGCAGCCGAGGGGGAGGAGGGAGGCGCCGCAAACAAGTGAAAATAGGTAGAGAGGGACCAATGAAAGATCAAGTTCTCTGAGAGGAAATAAAGAAGAGGGGAAAAAGGAGAACGTAAAATGTTCTCACTGAGTTCTAAAAGACATGCAGTGGTACGCAGCGGCTGACCTGTGACCTTTTTGAGAGGCGATAGGGTGATTAAGGCTACTCCAAGTAACCAGTTACATCTAAATATACACAACCCGCTTCTTATAATATTTATGTAAATATGAAATCAAAAAGAAAAAATAATCTGAGCATCATTTCCTTTAACATCAGACATTTTGAAACACGTCTTAAAACACAAAACAAAAATTAAAGCTGTCCAAAGCGTCATTACAAGGTGACAAATGTTTTCCTGTTCGAACCCTCAAAGAGGCTGAATTTGAAGACTCCAGAGAAAAATAAATAAATGCATTTGCACAAGTGGCTGGAAACTGCAAACTTTGGACATGTTTTGTTGAAAAAGCAACTCAAATCAGCAACTCAGACAAACAGGGATTCATGTCCTCCGTTGCTGACTGCTCTACTTATTGACTGATGATCACAATAATAGACGGTTGGTTGTGTTTACATGATGTTCTTAAATTAAAAGATGGAGAATGTGCAGTTAAAATTCTTTGAATTATAAAAAAAATCCACCCAAAAGAGGAGGTGTAACAGAGCATAGTGGTTGCTGTTGCACATTAGCTGATTGTGAAGTGATTTCAGTGACACACACTAAAAGATGTCTCCCATCAGAAAACAAAAGTTGTGTTCGAGGCTCTGTGAAGCTGAGAAAAGTATCCACAGTGTGCCACATGTTTGCCCTTTCATTTTCAGCTTATAGATCACAACAAAATATGTTGTTGAACATAAATGTTAGGGCAAGGGTGAGAGAGATATCAATGAAAAGTAAGTGGATGAGGTAGGCGGGGAGGAGGGGATGCACAAAGAGAGAAGGAGAAGAAGAAGAAGAGAGAAGTACATTTCACGCAAACCAAAGCCAGTGCGTACCTGAGGCGCGCCGGGGCGCTTCCTGCTTCCTCCGCGGCATGTCGGCAGCGGGGGTCCGGCTGGGAGTTCTTCTGTGGCCCCGGTGATCCGAGGTTGCCTGGGGGATCCTCAAGGCTTTGATACACAGTTTCCCCCCCTGGGTGCGCTCTCAGGGCTCCCACATAGATCGAGGCGGGTGGGTGAAAGCAGAGGAGGGTGTGCAGTTTTCGAATCAGAAGAAAAAGAGCCAGCAGATGCGAGGATAGTAAAAAAATAAAAAAATGAAAAGGAATGGGGAGGGGGAATGAACCCCCGGTCTGCTGCTCTCTCCCCGTCGGTCGCTGTGTCGCCCGCTCCGGCTTTGGATGGACGCGTTTGGGTAGCAGGAACAGAAGGGGGGTGCTCCGCGGTAGAAAAAAAAACACAAGAAGGGAGGTTTGAAAAGCGCCTCGTGCCTCCGTCTGATCCTCGCTACTCGGCGTCGGCGGCTGCAACAGGCAAGCTTGAAGGGATAAAAACCAAATGATCGCGTCAGTCAAAAGTCCGCAAAACAAGGGGACAACACATCAAGAGCTGACACAACTGAAGCCCTGCGCCCTCCTCTACGGCTCAACCTCTCCGCCGCTGATAGGCGTCACGTAGCTCCCTGTCTCTCTTCCCACTCCCTCTCTCTCTCTCTCTCTCTCTCTCTCTCTCTCTCTACCTCTCTTGCCCCCTCTCACTCTCGTTCTGTCATTCACTGCCTCTTTGTAGAGCCGTTTATTCCAAACGAGCGGGCTAATCACAACCTCTTGGTTACGGTAAAAAAAAAAAAAAATATGTGCGTAATGTCAGTCACATTGCGGATGAATCATGCAGACACATGGCAGCCTAACCAAAACACACACACACACACACACACACACACATATACAGTATCGTTAACAAGCAACGCGCAGGTTGACAGGGACGTAACGGAAATGCATACTTACTTCACGGGGTGATCCATGAGGTTTCGCGTCTCCCCCTCGCCCGGGAATCAAGCACGATTCAAAGCCAAGAGGTGAAGCAGCTGAAACGTGCCTGAAACCATCTCATAAAAAATCCAAATCGCCCCCTTGGCAAGTCCAGTAAGGGGGGTGAGCAAGAAGGAAAGAAAAAAAAACATGCAGCTTTTTCAGTTTGTTATTCTTGGGACCGACAGCGGAGGAGGAAAGAGGAGGAGGAGGAGGAAGGAGGAAGGAGAGGAGAAGAAGAAGGAGGTGACGACCGGGACTGGTCGCCCACACGCTGCCCTTGCCTGCCTGGCGCGGCTACGAGATTTTTGTCCGAGAGCGTTTTGGAAAAATCCGCTGAGGGGCAAGTCACACACTCAGTATGCGTGTGTGTGTGTGTGTGTGTGTGTGTGCGTGTGCGTGTTAGTGGTTGGTACTGCGCGTGAGTGTATGCGTGTCTGTGTGTGCGTGAATCGATGAGATACGTGCTTGATTGGGTCTCCCTCGTTGTAATAATGTACAGCAGAAAGGAGGAGGAGGAGGAGGGACGGGCTCAGGCTGCTCCCATGCATGCAGGCTGGGCTGGCTGGAGCGCACGGATCAGCCGAGCTCAAGCGCCTTTCTGCCAAACACTTTGTTGGCTGCTGCTGGTACTTTTCTCCCCTTTACGTGGCCTGATAGGAACTATTTAAATCGGCCACGCAGCGAATCACACACATGCGCTCCGCTCTCCTTCCAGCGGCGCCTCAAGTCACCGGAGAGGCGCAAAAAGCCTCTCAGAGCTGTGCTTGAATGGAATAAGTACTTTTTTTTTTCTTTACAGGTAAGTTCAAAAATCCTCCTTAGTTGTTATGGTAGTTGTTCAGATTTTTCTTGAGAGTCCGATGGTCCCTTTCTCACCTTAAAGTGAGTGATAAAAGTTTTTTTGGGTGTGTGTGTGTGTGTGTGTGTGTGTGTGTGTGTGTGGATTCAGCTGAGTTGGTGAAGCGGGTAAAAAATATTCTCCTATATTTTTCAGGCAATCCTCAGGTTGGGACGAGCAGCTTCACACGGCGGTGAAAACAAAGGATAGAAGAAGCTTGGTGGTTGATCAAGGGAGAGCAAAAAAAAAAGGGGTGAGTTGGCGAAGGCTGTCTTTCTCTCTCTCTCTCTCTCTCTTCCTGTCTTCCCCTTTGCGCCAGATGTGGTGCTGGCTGCGCCTCGTCTCTCACGCTCGTCAATAAGCAGAGAAACCGCTTTCTTTTCTCGATCCGCCGAGGGAATCAGATCTCCTCAGCCGTCCTCTTGGTTGTCGCTTCTCGGGGTAAAACGGGGGGAGTCTGTCCGTTCCTCATCCGTTCACCGGGGCTCGGTGGGAAGGATTGATGATTTGTGACTCTCCGCCGATACGAGGATGTTTTCTTCCTAATCTCGCCGCGACTGTGTGCGCCGCTCCACCACTGCATGCCGTTAGATCCGCCCAAGCATCTGTCCGTCTTTCCATTGGCGCATCCATCAGTGTCACACACACACACACACACACACACACACACACACACACATCCACACACACAGCTGCCGTGCGCACATTCCCCGCGATACTACAATACCCCCTCCCACCCCGCAGCGTACACTTACACATTATACTCATTCACACGCGCAAACACCGTCGCGCACGCTCTCCTCTCCGTCTGATTGACACAGTCCACTTTCTGAAACGCCCGTCAGGGAGCGCGCTGCCTTATACTGTTTCGCATTTTCACCTTCAGATATGGAGTCTGATTGTTTTCTGCTTCTTAAGGCGGCGTCATTTTATTCTCCTATTTATTTTTTTTCCATGAATAGAAGTTGCAAAACGTTCGGACAATTATTATAAACATTTTTTCTGATCACTACATATGAAGTTTGGAAATATTTTAATGCCATGCTCTGTGCGGATTTTGCTGATTTGCGCCAGGATTAAAAACCTTAATTTGCTCCGTGAGTTATTATGTGCACAATAAGAATAGACTTTCGTACACACCGGTGGTGTTACCTGCTGAGGTGCTCACTCTAATGTGCCATTGTTGTGCTCAGCGGTGATTATTGCAACATTTTTACGCAGTTGTCAGTACGATAATTTACTAAAAAATAACTATTCGAACCTTTAAACACCAAGTCAAATACAAGTGAATGTAATATGTCCATAACTCAATTTAAATTAAAAACCCTGTTCCTGGAGTGATTCACACATTTTGTCCTATCCGTTACATGAATATTATTTTTTGAAAAAGGAGGCCCTCCTGTTTTTTTTCCATCTTCTCCTCGTGTTGTTTGAAGCGCATCTGGATACACGGACTGTTAGACTTGCTATTTGTTGAAAATGAAACCCTTTTGTCATGTTGGTCGTGTTCAGAAAGGAGGATTTAGAAACATACACAATGCACTGACGCCAAACTTACAGGACTGGAGTGTTGGAGGGACAGGATGGAAGAGAGAGAGAGAGAGACAGAGAGAGAGAGAGAGAGAGAGAGAGAGGGAGAGAGAGAGAAAGAGAGAGGGAGGCTTTGATTGAAACAGACGCCAATCGCTTGAACACTCCGATAAACTCAAATAAACATAACCGACTCATTCAGCGCGTTTAAGGCGTTTCAAAAGCAACAAAACCTGAGACATTTACGCACCAAAATGTAGGTCCTAAAGTTGTATAGCCTACTAGTCTGAACTGGGTTCAGGATGGAAAGCCTTTAAGTTTTGTTATGTACTGTACCAGATGTGAGCGGAGAGATTGAACAAACGGTGCGCTTTTCACTTGGAGTTGATGCTGAATATTAAAGGTGGTGTTGCTGCCAAGTTCGAGGATTTTCATTTTCATTTCATTCAACGATGTGTGAAATAAAAGTCACCGCCAAAGTGTGAATGTTTCACAGAATACAAACCGATTAAATTACACACAAGTGTGCGTTATTATTTTATAAATACCAACATTATTTCTCCAAGAAGATTTTCCAATTTGTGCAGATTTTCTTCAAAAAGTACATTTTCAATGATCCAAGGAAAAAGAAAGATTTACTTATTGATATTGTCCTACTTTGGTGATTTCTTTGTTTTAGTAAGTTTACATTTTGTGTGTAAGTGTGTGAGTGTGTGTATGGAGTAAGATGGGAGAGAGAGAGAGAGAAAGAAAGAGAGAGAGAGAGTGCAACATCAAGAGGACACCGATCATTTATCCACGTTTGCATAAAACTTTATAAAACATTTACAGACGAATTTAAAGCTTGAGCTTGTTGTTAAACACTTAATAAACTGGTTTGTGTCGCAAAAAAAGTTATTCAATTGTGTTTCTTTATTTTAATAGCGAGTAACCGTGTGCGTAATTAAATCAAACCAGCTAAAATCATCACTGGAACTAATCTATGTATGAAAGTGTTTGGGATCGAGGTTTGTAAAAGAGGAGATTTGCAGTATCAGATCATGCACTCTGTTGTTTATAATGTAATCCTTTATGAATTCCTGTATTGTTGGTAAATTGTAAAACTTTTAGATTATTGTGAAATAGAGCAAAACTTCTTGTGCCTGTCCCAAAAAGTTGCCTTTTTTTGCGCACGACGCCGACGCGTGCTTCTCCATTTCATTCCCCCCAGATGTTATTATGGACAGTGATTGTAATTCTTTTTTATACATCAAAACGATTGAACTAGTTTGTGCTTGTGTCACGAAAGGAACACATACTTTACTTACTATGCAACGTATAAAATTCAGATGTTGTTAATTCTTGCCATTGGGCCTGTTGGATAGATATCACAAAAGACCGCTGTGCTCGTGTTCCTGCTGATATTAAAAAAAAACAAAAAACCTCTGCTCTCCCGCATGTGTGATACACAAGTTTCACCAATGAGCAGATTTATTTCTTTCCTCTTGTTCATCACACTGGGAAATGAATCTGCAGGCGACATATTAAAGTTCGCTGGAATCACAGGCAGCATACTCTATAGAGGCAGACTCGCATAGAAATATTATGACAGCATCGTGGGTGACTCATATGTGAGAGTGTGTGTGAGAGCCAAATATCTATTTAAAGACGCGAGGAAAACGGGTGTACATGTGATAAAGTTAATCATAAACAATTTTGAAAAAAAAAAACGATTCCAACAATTGTAAAGATGGTCACAGTTTCAGTTGAGCACGCGCACACACTTACACACTTAAGTAGCTCCTGTGGACATTAAAGCCACTTCCGCTTGTGTGTTTGTGAGCGTGTGTTTCACGCATAAAGGTCAGTAATTTATGCCAGTCCCTCCTCACATTAAATCTCCGGTTTTGTGTGTGCTCATGTGTGTGTGTGTGTGTGTGTGGGGAGGAGGCGGGGGGGTGTTCAGGGAATTGGAACCTTGCCTCTCCCTTTGCCGCTGCTGTCTTTACGCACAAAAGCCTCTCCAAGGATGCATGGCACGGTTTTGGAACTAACACACTGTTGTTGTGAATGAGTCTAAATCCAGTCCCCTCGTTTTATAATCAATATTTTTTAAATGTTTTTAGAGTAACCATATTTTATTTTACCAGCGATAAGTCAGGACAAAAGTACAAACAGGAAAAAAGTTACGCGTAGACCTCAACATCCTCGCGCTCGGACGTGACACACACACACACACACACGCGCGCGCGCACACACACACACACACACACACACACACACACCACAATTCAAGTTTTTTGTTCAGAAGAAAAATCGTCTCATTCACATTGTCACTTCCTTAAAATATAATTGGGTAACTGCAAGTTTAAAGTTCCAGTGCCATATTCTTATCACTCTCCGGATTAGGCTGAAGAGGATTCTCTCTCCCCACCCCCCCCTCAAAAATACAAGTAGTCGCGTTCGGTTCAGTACAACCAGAAGGAGTTTAAGAGCACAACTGTGATTTATCTCTGAGCTCCACCACTTTACACCATCTATGATTTACTCTTTTTTTTCCGTTTCCCTTTTTTCTTCTTCCTCTGCTTCTTCTCCGACGCTCACGCTGGCATGGCGCACCGGCTTCACGGCACACTGGTTTCTAGTAGGCTGGATAAAGAGCCGGGAAGGGGGGGCACAGTCCGCAGAGCAGCAGGGGATGTACCGGTATATAAAAAAAGAGGAAAGAAATAACATGATACACAATAAGTGCTTTAAACTATGGCACAACCTTTAATCAGTTTTCAGCAGGACTGAACAGTTCAGGACAAAAGTGGGACAATGACGATAAACATATGCCAGATGGTAATGGTGTGTGTGTGTGTGTGTGTGTGTGTGTGTGTGTGTGTGTGTGTGTGTGTGTGTGTGGCCAGATTAGTTGTTTGTTCAGTGGAATCTTCTTAAATAAAAATCTATACTTTAAAATAGTCATTATATATGCAGTCTGTTTTTTTTCAAACATTTTCAAACATTTTTTTATTTGGAAAGACAAATGGCACTGGGCAGTAGATTGGGAATAATGAACTGTGTGTAAAGGTAGGTCCAAAATACCTCCTTTAAAGACCCCTTTGGTTTTTGAAGTTGTTGTTTTTTTCTTTCCCAGAAATCTGCTTTTTGTCACTCTGTTTTTTGGATTTTCTCCCTCTCAGCCTTAGGCCATGCCTGTGGCTGTCGGCCAAACACTCCCGCCTCGCCCACCTCAATCTGAGAACGACTGTTTTATTATGTGGTGTTAAGGTTTCATCGATATCTGACTGACCTCAAAAAGTTGTCTTTGCTAACACTGAATTGCTGGTGGGGGGGGTGTCCACTAAAAAGAACAGGCACCTTTGTTTTGCATGGTGAGGGGGCGGGGGAGAAAAAGGAGGCCAGGGTTAGCTTCTCCTCAAATAACCTTAAAAACTTACAAACTCACACCGAAAACTCGACAAGGCATTGACAAGAGAAGCTGGAAAAAGATGGAGTGGATATACTCTCCCTCTCTCTCTCTGTCTCTCTCTCTCTCTCTCTCTTTCTCCCTTGTGTCCCCCCCCCCCCCCCCTCACCCTGCCTCCTTGGGTGTGCTGCGAAGCTAGCAGGGTTGAGAGGGCAAGTGCTGACCAGCCCTCTTTCTTTCTCTGTCTGCTGTTACTAGGTCACCACACACACACACACACACACACACACACAACCAAACAACTCACACACGGGCGCACACACACACAC